CACTGAGAGAGGGCATCCCATCTAGATGATAGGCGCCCTGTGCGGCCGATCGCTTTTAACCTGGAAGGGGGTAGCCACAACCCGCGACCTCCGCGGAAAGAGCGGGTCAGCTCAATCAAATGCCGGCACCAGCCTTGCACCATCTGATAAGCCCGGAGTTCTCGATTTCGTTCGATCATTGAGATGCGCGGAGCAGGCTGGCAGAGCGCTTCTCTATCGATCCAGATGCATACACCACATCGAAATGGATTGGTTTGGCGTTCTGTATGGCGTTTTCTGTTGCATGTGGCTTCAATATGCATTTTCTCAGTCTAGTTAGTCTTACCGTATTTTTGTCGTGGAGGGCATCCACATCATGCATGTCGGGAGCTCGTTTAATCACGAGCCGTCAGCACTACCTACCATGTCGGCCGGCCCCTGGTCTAGACGGCGCGACTTCATTGGCCGAACATCCGAGAAGAGCTGATCGGCTAATGTTTTGGCTTGTTTTCGAGGGGTGGCAGCCACAAAACGACGCTGCGACACTAGCGGTCAGCACACAACGCTGCAACGATATGCATGGTGGAGGAATCTTCGATGTGAGCTGTCGAGTGAGCAACGAGGTCTCGGGGTACTAGAGCGCCACCCGGTAGGAAGGGACGTGGGTGGGTCGTTCTAAACGCCTTGCCCAAACTTCTTAGTGGGAGAGTACCTAGGAGAAAGTGCCTTTTCTTGGGTTAACCCGGGTTTCTCATCCTTCCCCCGTTGCGATTTCTGAAATCCTTCCCAGCCCGGCGATAACGGTGTTGCCTGTCAATGCTTGTCTTGTCTGACATATTATCAGATCTGACATAGCAGGCACTTTTGCCATTTTCGACGAGACTTCCAAGACCAACAACTAATATCATCGCTCGTCGCACCATCTTACGAAGTGTGGCCTTGCGCAAGCGTCGTCCCAGCAAACCAACAGAAAAAAAGGCGGCAGACAACTACGTAGTTGTCTGCGGGTAATCACATAGGGCTGCTCTAGTAAGGGGCTGGTCTGGGACCGTCTGTCAGCAACTGGACCCCGCTAAACTGGCTCAGCATCGGCCATCAGTCATCAACCCAATTGACGGCACTGGCCTTCGTACTCGTGTCTGTCGAGACATCTCATCAATCTTATATCTGGGGTCGTCGTCGTCGTCGCCGTCGTCAGAAGCCCTCATAACGGACTGACGCCTCCCTCAAGGGGAAGGACGCAATGCGTCGCCTCGGGGATGCCAGAAGAAGGGGGGTCGGCGTTCAAGACCTCGTTCTCGTCGCCTCCCTCATCTTCTGTTTCTACCCACAATGCGTCCAGTCGGCCAGTGTGATGGCTCGGTTCAGCGACAGGCCACAAAGGCGAGCCGCATCCCCAGGCGAACACGTCGTTCTAGCCGATTGCATAGACCCGAATCGCGTGGTGTCCTCGGAGATGGCCTACTTTCAGGGCGCCCCGGGCCCTAACCCGCAAGATGTCGCCGTTGTGAAGACGGATCCAGGGAAAACGGCTCTGTGGGTCAGCAGCACAACTTCAGCACTCTGGACCGACACGGGTGTCACCTTCACGGCCGTGCTCGGACCCAAGGTCGACGACGGGCAGTATGCAGGAACCGGCGACAATGGGTATGGCAACTTTACCTGCTGGCAAAAATTTGTCGTCTCGCTGTACACTTACGACGGGACCCAGTGCTCGCAAGTGTACGACTGTAACCATGACGCGGCCCCTGGTAAGTTCCCCCCTCCCTCTCTATGCGCCAATGAGCAGAGCTGACCAGATACAGCGATAACAAACACAACCAGCAACGGGACAGCATCTGCCACTCCGGTGCCGGGTGCTCAAGACACCGGTCTTTCCCAGGGGGCACTGATTGCCATTATTGTCGGAATAGTAGGGTCTTTGGCAGTGGCGGCTGCCGGGGGACTCTTTTGGCTCCTGTGGCGGCGATCAAAGAAAGAAAAGGGGCTGCCACCAAGAGCGGGCTGGTTGGGGCTATTTGGGAAGAGGAGGACTGCGCCGCCACCCGCGGAACTTCAAGGTGGAGTGGTTGGATCTGAGTTGTACTCACCCCAAGACGACCCAGCAAAGAGGGAACTGGGGGGAATCTATGAGGTGGATGGGCGGTGGTACCGTGTTGAGATGGCAAACGAAACTGGAAAGTACGAGATGGATGGGCAGGGTGTGGTTGAGATGGATACCAAAATTGTACCTGCACCAGGGCAGGACGGGCAAGAGCCGCTTGAGGTGCACGAGTTCCCACCGTCGCCTGAGACAGTGACACTCGCGACAGCAGTGGCTGAGTCGCCGATTGTGTATCCCGCGACTCCGGTGTATCAGCCTATGGATAAGAGGTGAATGGCTGGGGAATCTACGATGCGAAAATGGACGAACAACGGCACCTGCCTGATGTAAAGGCCCGTATGGAGACAGTACCCAAAGGCTAAGGTCAACAAAGGCTGCGAGGAAGACTGAGCGTGGGGATGAAGAGGGGAAGGAGGTGCACGTAAGGTACCGGCAGGCAGGAGATATATCTTTCCAAGGCTGTGGAACTATTAGCGAGCCATGACCGAAGGGCGAAAGGGATCAATCGGCTAGGCAGGTGGAACAGCAGACATATGTTGCACACGACACATGCGCGGGACAGTGCCTAGAACGAGATCCCCTCGAGACCTGCAAGTGGGTTTCAGAGGGACTTGAGTGCGGCGGGTTACATTCCTATCAATGAGGGATACCTCGTTTGTTGGAGGGCGGGGGGATTTTGGGGTTGCTCTAGTGATGTAAGGATGCCATAGCGCCGGTAGTTGAAACAAGACGAGATGACGTGGCCTCCGCTTGCCGTGCTTTATAACCCGACAGGCCGGTAGCGAACTACGGCATAATAATTCGTACCACGATAATCTCTATAGATAGACTTGACAAGCAACAGCTTCCCATTGACGGAGTATTCTTGCATGTGTAGTCCGAGTGTGACACAGTTAGTATATGCGGGTCGCATTCCACTGCCTCCGCTTCTCGGACTAAGGTACTTATCTTTTGGACCCGCTTGACTTTTCGCCAGCGTAGATAAACCTCTAACAGCTTGGTCGAGTGATTACTACATACCTGTAGGTATATAGATACAGAGCCTAATTGTACGTTTGCAGCACAGTTCGCCTAAAGCGTTTTCAATGACATTATACCATTAATGTATTATTACTATTCACCCACCTGTGCCTTGAAGTCGACATATACAGAATCTTATAGTTTCCCCTGTCTCACAATCTTCTTCGCCCAAGGATGTTCCTCAGTCCGATAGACGTACGGATCCAGCTCAGTTGTGTTCAGCAGCCCCGGATGCGCCTGGTCAAGGCTCGTGATCCCACACAGCTGCATAGCGCTTTGAAGTTCATCCGCAAGTACTTCACAACTCATTAGCTCACTTTTGTTTCTGTGTCTGGAAGGAAGACTTACTCTTCACAGCTTTCTGCACGCCCTTGACACCAAATCCAGCTGCATAAAACATCGGCCTGCCCACACAGACCCCGCTGGCCCCGAGGCAGATGGCTTTCAGCACATCCGTCCCGCGTCTGATCCCACCATCAATAAACACCTCCATCTTCCCCAGAACCTCCGGACATTGTGCTTGGATTTCCAGCAACGTTAATATGGTCGGATATGCCGAATCAACTGCCCGTCCGCCGTGGTTGGAGATGTATATCCCATCGCACCCATACTCCAGCGCCTTTTTCGCGTCCGCGGCACTCTGAATGCCTTTTACGACCACGGGTATGCCGCCGGTAACTTCCTTGATCCATTTCAGCTCGTCCCAGGTCAGGTCCGAAGCGATCGCTCTTCCGTTGCCGGACTCTCTTGCCTTTTCCTGTCCCTCCCTTGTCATTTTACCGGTTCTCTTTCTCTGCGCCGCAGCAGCCATTTTCAGCTCGTATCGCTCGTACGACTCCCTCTTTGAGAAAACCGGCAGGTCGACGGTTACCATTATCGCAACCGGTTTGAGCCGAGCCACATCCTCCAGCAGTTTCCGGGCCAAGGTCCGGTCCTGCCAGAAGTACAGCTGAAAGAAGAACGGATGTCCTTTGGGCAGTGAATCAACGATCTCGTCAATCGTGAATGATGAGAGCGTCGGTACGACCATCGACCCCCCCGCTGCGGAAGTCCCTGCCGCCAATGCACACTCCCCGTCGGGATGAATCAGCTTGATGGATGCCGCCGGGGCGCTGAAAAACGGCAGGTTGAACCTGCGGCCGAAGATGCTGCGGCTCATGTCACACGTGCTGACATTTCTGAGCACCCGCGGACGCAGGTAGATCCGCCGGTAGAAGTCCTGGTTACCGGCAAAAGTGACGCCGTCGCAGGTGTATCCGGGTACGTATGCCAGCGCCCGCCCGCTGAGGGTGTGCTTGCCCGCGGCTTCAAAGTCGTGCAGGTTGACTATACTCTCCAGCGTCGGTTTTCCTTCCTGCGCCTCCGGTGGTGGTTGTACGTTTGTCGTGGAAGGTGCGGGTGCGGACTCTGGTTCTGCGGGTACCGCCGGGACGGACACGGGCTCGAGATTGCCAATCCGTTTAGATTCGCCAAGCTGTTTGGCGATCAGACCCGGACCGTGGAACTCGTTGTACACGGACGACGCATCGCGGCCGAAATATTCTTCGATAACTTCCCTACCGCCCGGGTGGGCTGCCGCGAAGCCCGACACGTCCCAGACGGTACCGTTAACGGCGAGCCATGCGGAGTTTTCGTTGTTGTGCGAGCTCAGCTCGGAGGTACTAACCGTTCGAGGCATTATGATTAGAATAAAACGATATAAGATATAAGATGGAGACCATCAAACTTGGCAGATATTAGAGCATATGACGGAAAACGAGGTGAGGTTATGGGGCTCGGGTTCCGATTCCCGAGCTGTTACACCCGGCAGTGTGAGACGGGAATTTTGTTCGAGGGCTGAGTGAAATGAGCAAGGTATGGCAGCGGAAATAACGGCAGCAGAAGTCATCCAACATCGGGGACCTTGGCGCAGTTGGCTAGCGCGCAGGTCTCATATATCAATATGATCTGATTAAAACATCAGAGTAATCCTGAGGTCGTGAGTTCGAGCCTCACAGGTCCCAACTATTTTTGCCCTTTTTCCCAAGTTGATATTGCATTCGGACGGCACGGAATATTGTCTTCAATTGACTCGGCCGATATTCACGGCCATGTTTGACATCCATGACGCGGGGACGCTAAGAAACGACCGGAGCAAGTGCTTGGATGCGTGGGGTGCTTTACTGGCTCACCGAGTGTTATGACTTCATTCTTCTTCTGATGCGACTCTTGCCAAGTGCCAAATGTGTTTTGATGGATGCATGTGTTGTAGGTGTACTTTACTTAGTGGTTGTCAACTTACTGGCTCAGTAATCCCCTAGCCTCTGGTCCGGTTTCCCGCTGACCTATCACGTACGGAGCAATGTTTGCGTAAATCCACCTAGGCGATGTGATCTGACCGCGTGAAACTGATTGGCGCTGGTAGATCAAGCGTACAAAGTACATGTAAATACAAATACTCCGTAGCCCATCAGACTTCAGTAGTGCCCTCTCCAGCTGCGGCTTGACCACTCCTCTAAGCCAGCATTATGGACGCTCAATCGTTATCGCTTATGTCCGACCCGAATAATGACTGTTTATCCCTGTCTGGCTTGTCATTATCCAGAATTAGCCACAGAGATGAACATGAAGTTAAAAAACTGCTGGGGGCTTGCATGACAGATGGAGGTTTCTATCTAGGTCTGGATCAGCGCTCTGACAACGCAGGTAGTGCTCGTCATCACCACCTGTTATCGGTGGCGGAGAAGGTGTTCAGCCTTACGAGTGAAATACTTGACATGCTCGAGGAGGAAAATTTACACTGGGAAAGGGACAAGTGGAGGGACTTGCAGATAGGCGGGTACGTTCATCTCAGTAATATTAGAGCAGGAAATGCGATCAAGATCGACCTCATGCTAACACCGGGAGGCAGGACGACGTGGGACGGGATGCGGGGCATTGAAATGTCTCTGCCTGGAGATTAAGGTTGATACGTAGTCAGTCACAGCCCGACCCAAGCAAATCCCAAAAAGCCCCTCAGCTCTTTCTTGCGTTTGCAGACTCTCAGGTTCCCAAAAAAGCCGTTATTCTCCCAGCCAAATTGAACGAACCCCCGAGCAGCGGGAAGCACCACAATGGCAGGGACAAAGAAGATTCTACTCCTCGGCAGTGGCATGGTTGCGCCTCCCTGCATTGAGTACCTTACTCGCAACCCCCAGAATCAGCTCACCGTTGGTAAGGCGATTTACTCTCCCTTCATTCGCGCTATGTTTCTTCTCCCCCAAGCTGGAAGTCCCTTTCGTCGCCCCTTCCACTCTCTCTCATGCCGCAAGATGGCTGACTTAGACACTCTTTCAAGCTTGCCGAACCTTGTCTACGGCACAAGCTCTCGCGTCCGCGTATCCCAGAGCACAGCCGATTTCCCTGGACGTAGCTTCGACAGCGGACCTCGATGCACAAGTCGCAACCCACGACCTTGTCATCTCCCTCGTCCCTTACACATATCATGCCGCCATCATCAAGTCGGCAATCAAAGTACGGAAGAATGTGGTGACTACCAGCTATGTCTCAGACGAGATGCGAGCCCTGGATGCCGCTGCCAAGGAGGCCGGAATCACAGTACTGAATGAGGTTGGGGTTGACCCAGGAGTGGACCATTTTTACGCCATGAAGACCATCGACGAGGTTCACGAGAAGGGCGGCAAGGTACGTGCTATTTCCGGCTAACTCGAGCCATTCAGAGTTTTTATTGACATTGCGATTGCACAAAGGTCAAGGAGTACCACTTGTACTGTGGAGGCTTGCCCGCCCCGGAGTGCGCCGACAATCCACTTGCCTTCAAGTTCTCCTGGTCCGCACGCGGAGCAATCCTCTCCCAGCGCAACGCCTCATCCTACCTCGACCAAGGCAAGCGAGTCGACATCGCAGCCGTAGATGCCATGGCCGTTGCAGCCTTACAATGTCAAGGACGGATACTCCTTCCTGGCATACCCGAACCGCAATTCTCTTCCTTTCAAAGAGTTTTATAACATCCCGGAGGCAGAGACCGTCATCAGGGGCTCTCTACGATACAATGGCAATCCACAATTCATCCAGGCTTTCGCCGGCCTTGGCTGGCTTGATCAAGAAAAGAAGAGCTGGTTGACACCGGGCATCACATGGGCCCAGATTCAACAGAAGTTAATCGGTGCTCCTAACTCGGATGGGAGGTATGTCTCTTACATTTTATTGAGACAAACCTTTCTGTAGTCCTGACATCCCCGTGACTCACAGCTCGCTTATTGCGCACATCAAAGAGGTGTACAAGTTTCCAAACCAGTCCGAAAGCGAACGCATTATTTCGGGCATGAAGTGGTTGGGGCTTCTCTCGAGCGAACAAGCCACGATCAAGGAGGGCAATGTCTTTGACACTCTCTGTCACCAGTTGTCCAAACTTCTCAGCTTCAATCCCGGTGAGCGTGACTTGGTGATGATGCAGCAGAAGTTCGTCGTTGAATGGAAAGACGGGAAGAAGGTATGTGATGTTCTCAATTGTCAAGGACGGCCATGACTCATTAGGCATCCAGAACACCATCATCAACACTCTCGAGTTGTTTGGTGACCCGAAGGGGTATTCGGCCATGGCACTCTCGGTCGGCGTCACGTGCGGTGTGGCGACTCAGCTGCTGTTGGATGGCCACCCGGCCTTGGACAAGCCAGGTATCCTCGCACCCTACCAGAAAGAGATGTGTGATCCCATAAGAGAGATCGTGGAGACCGAGGGCGTCAAGCTCGTGCAGGAGGTCCTGTAACTTGTCAGAACCACGAGGACATCCTCATTGGTAACCAGACGGTCCAGACCTGGAAATGATCGTGAATAAATGATCATGAATGCTCCAGATTCTCACAGACGAACTATCTACAACAGATGACAAGCCATCTTTAGGCCAATCACTCATGATTCCAACCGCTCTGGCCACTGAGCTCATACTTGGACCGCACGAAGCGTTCCGCACTCTCCAAATCTTTCCCGATACGATCTGGCCTCCATCGCCAAAGCTCACGATACTTTTTACCCAGGGTTCTTCTGTCAAGCATTTGCACGACAAACTTGCCGACGTGGACGATATTCTTGAATGAATGCCCCGAACCGCCGGTGGCCAAGAACAAAGACTCGGGCGAATCTGGGTGCGGCCCAATAAGCCAGGCATAATCGTGACCTTTTCATCTCAGCATTGCCGATACGCAGCCAAAGGGCAATTAAGGGAAGATGCGAGACTTTCATTCCATATCCCAACACATTCTTCTTTGGAAGTCAGCGAAGTTGTCGCGAGAGAGTCATGTGGGCCATCTAAGTACTTGGACGATACGCCTGGTCGCGTGGAACCGAGACGGGTCCCCAATCGCACATGGGATTCTCTGGCTGGACAGTATCGAGGTAAGTTGTATCAGTCCTATACCAGCAAAACCACTCTCATTTGTCGACGCTTACGTGCAGATTTTGAAGATTCTGTTCTCGTTGGGCGGACAGCTGGGCGAGCCAGCGCGCCAGCATTTTGAACACGTAAACACGGGGGGTTATCTACCAGTGGCCCAGATCAGAGCTAGATGATCAGTCCTGTGAGCGAGATCCCCTCATGTTAAAAGAGGGAGAGCAGCGACCAATATGTTAAGCACTGGGTTATCCTTGTACCGTTTGTACCCCTCTTCAGTCACCTGGACGTGACTGACCACATACAGCACGGCATATGATGGCTTTGAAAGGGGCGAGTCCAAGGCGGAGATGGACTCCACCGCTGTCGATCCAGGATACGGGACCCAAGGCCCTCTCACGGAGGAGAACGCAGACGCCCCAAGTGTTGACAAGGAGAGCAACGCCGTTGTGAATGACCCAGGTGATACCTCTGTCAGTTCAACTGAATTGAAGCGGCCTCGCTTCACTTGGTTAACGCCTTGGGCAAGACAGATGCCTCCTGTTCCAGAGCAGAGAACCATTTCCAAAGACGCCACAGCCCGCGCGTTCAGCATGGTAACTTTTGGATGGATCACTCCCCTCATGTCTGTCGGTTATCGAAGGACCCTAAGTAACCCTAACCAACCTAACCCGAAATCCAATCAAATCTCGTTGTCAAACCTCTAACGATTCTCTGCGACTGTGTGCCTTATTGCAGCTTCAATTATCCCGCAGTCGATTGATGTCTGCTTCCACGTCCTCCTCCGAAGATTGCGGTCCCCTGACCGTCGGAAGACCGTTTGAGGTGGGGTTGCGGGGTGTGTCTTATCCGATCCTGCGATTATGTACATACCTGTACGTATCAATCAGATCTTGATGCAGACATACAACGGTGTCTGTGGGCGCCGAAGCTTCTTTTCATCCCATCAATTTCGAGTCAATCGTACGAACGATCAAAGCGCTGTCATCTCACTCGCGACGACAACTAGACCGGGTTCTGGGGGCGGGAAGCAAGCATGCCGGATGCCAAGACCTGCGTGTTGGAAGTAAGTGCCCTGGATCACGCGCAGGATGTGCACGAACCCCTCTCTTGAACTTGGAGGTGGTAGAGTTTCCGCTGCCCTTCGTGGTTCACAAATCCCAGATTCTCAAAGTTTTAGTCATTGCTTGGCCATGCGACGCATTAACCTCACAAGTTGGCGAGGGGGTGGTAACGGTTCGATTGATCTGCGATTCCGGGGGTGGAGAATGTGTGTGCATTGTGAGACGAGACGTGCCAAAGCTCTCCGACACGGCTCACGGTGCCCCGTGCTCACACAACCGCCAAATGCGAAGCGAGAGCTCCCGGAGCTCAAACGGATTGCGGGGGAAAAGGGGCACTGCATCCAACAAACTGCATTCCCGTTCAGGTCATGGAATTTCCCATTCTGTTCAGAAGTGAGGCAACGGGTACAGCTGCCAGATTGCATTGCTGGGTTTGGAGGATGCAAGCCTGGACCCCAAAGTGGAAAAAGTTCGAGGTCGAGTTGTGTCCGGGCTCTCGACACCCTCGAGACAACACATGGCGCGACTGGTTCCGACGCATTATGGGGGGTGCGGCTGAGATCGTCTGGT